AACCCCTAAACCCCTAAACCCCTAAACCCTAAACCCTCAACCCTGAACCCTTAAACCCCCAAAACCCTAAACCCTCAACCCTGAACCCTAACCCCCAAACCCAGGTAACTGAAGAAGCCGGCTTCATCCTTTTGCTGCATGCGCTGGACTTCGGCTCTGGGTGGCGACAGGAACTGCACAGACATCATGGAAACTGGGCATTTACGGTAAACCCTAAGCCCTAAACCCTAAGCTCTTGAGAGGTTTAGGGTTTTAGAGTAGGGTTGATTTAGGGTTTTAGGGTTTCGCGTTTGAGGGTTTAGTACTCGGAACATCATGGAAACTGGGCTTACTCAAGAACGAGGGTGCTTATAACTCTACACAATACCTACTTACTCGGTCCCCGACCCTCCCAGTCGGGTTTGGGGTGTAGGACTTTGGTTTTAGGTTTATGGGTAAGGGGTTTAGGGATTCAGGGTTTAGGGTTTGGGGGCTTCCGCCTTATGGTTAAGAGGGGTCCAGGGTTTAGGATTTTGATATAGGGTTTTCAATGAGCAATGCCTTTGAACGAAAAGACGGAACAACAACTATTGTAGTTCTTGTTTCTTCTTTTCAATAGAAAGCAGCTTTTGTAGATACTTTCGTCTTGGCTTCCAGAACAGCAGAGGAAAGGGTGCATATCTAACCATCAAGCCGGGCGTCGAAGCGCTGCATGCGGGGGCGGCTGCAGCTGGCGGCTTTACCACAGAGTCTTGGCGTCCTTCTGGTTGGCTCTTAGGACTTTAGCTTTTTGGGTTTCTATTTGAACCATAATAAAGAGGCTACAAGTTCAACTTTTAGAAGGGGTTCAGAAGTCAGCCAAGGAGTGGCTCAGCAGCCGCAGCTACGGTGATATTGCCAAAGCTTTTGCCTTGGAAGGAAACCCAGAAGTGGAGGATTTGGTCGACCTCCTGTTGCAGGTGATTCACGAACTGGGCGAAGGCTGCGCCAAAGAAGGGTCCCTCGAACTATTTGTGGCACAAGCTTTGAAGGCTTCTGCCGACTCTGAAGAACCCGCAGCAGAGATGGTGTGGGCACTTGTGGACACTTTTCCTTCAACCTTTGATGATAGGTACATCCTTCGCGAAGCCCAGCCCGTGTGCTTCTTCAAAAAGGCTCAGCTGGTGGTCGGCGAGCTCTATCATCGCTTCCGTGCCGAAGACAGCCGCTTCCGGTTTCCCGATGGCGATCATCTGACGGCCTACGTCGACAACGTGATTTGCGCCACTCTCAGGTACCCAGAGACTCCAATATCCCTTAGTTAAGGAATGTACCTTATAGCAGCATCCCTGGTACGATTGAAGGAATATTCCTTACTTCCGGGATCTTCGAGTCTCAGGTACAAGGGCGTTGTGGTGGCAAACGCAGAAGCGACGAAGATGATCGAAGAGGGCCAGGAGTTGCCCAAGGGCTCCGAGTTGGAAGTTAACTTCCGGGCTGCTGCGTTGTGCGGGGTCGAAGCTGCCACGTTGTCATAGTTGGGCAACATGTTTTTTTGGATTTTTTGGGGCATTTCAAGCCAAGAAAGAATCGAAATGCACGTCTTAAAAGACTATCTCAACCATGAGCTAGGTATTTTAAGGAGTATTTGAATCCAAGAAAGCATAGAAACTCAGTTGTCCTACCATGCCAACCATAGGTCAAAGGAGCTACAGAGGATGCCCTCACCTCCTCGGAGCTCGGAAACTATCTCTGGGCCGGCCTGGGAAAGGAGCCAGGAATCCGAAAGTACCAGCGCCATGCGACCAAGACGGTCTTCTATTGACCGGTTTAGGGGTTTACTACTATTTGATTAAGAACCCCCTGCCAAAAAAAAAATAATCCCTATATTACCCCCATAAGGAATATATTTTTTATTTTTTGGGGGTTCTTAAGCAAATAGTAGTTTAGGGTTTGGACTTCTATTGAGATAGACGGAGCACAGGCTGGCACCCAAGAAGCCACAACGGCTCTTGGAACTTTGCTCTTCTTTGACAGTCGCCATGCGCCTACTGTACAGTGTTGTAGGTACCGAAAGCTTTCACGTCGGCGCAGTCAACTTTTGCATATGCATTCAGGGAAAGTCGACTGCATGGGTATTGCTATCGACACTCAGTGCGATTCTGGTGTGAAAAATTCAGGTTCTGTTGGTGACCCCGGGTTTCGGGTCGTGGATTCCATCGTCGACTTTCAGGGAACGCTACTCGTCTGATCCCTGACAGCCTGGATGCATCACCCTCCTGTAGGATGAGCGTGCGGCACGTGTGCAGAAAGAAAAGCCTTGCTGGTTTGGATGGGTTTCGAAGCCTTTGCATTTATTCATCCTGGGCTTGTCTGCGCGAAAAATTGTTTTGGAGTTAGCTTCTCTCCTACCATAGGGGCCGAAATAATTACCAATGTTCGGTATTGTGATTATAGTATAACAGGCCCCAAAACCCTGTTCTAATTATTAAGGCCCCTACATTAAACTCGCCCCAAACCCTAAACCCCAAGCCCCAAAACCCCAAAACCGCAAACCCCTGTAACCCTTATAGTTCTTGAAGGCCCCTACGTTACATTACATACAAAACAATTATGGGGGCTACACGCTCTGGTTCGGCCTGAGGACCTGCTTGAAGGATCAGAGGACGTAGCAAGTAATGTAGGGGCCTCAATGATTAGAACAGGGTTTTGGGACCCATTATACTATACTTATAATCAGGAACCCCCCAAAAAAACTGTATGCAAACAGTTTAGGCCCCGATAGTAGGTGGTGCATGGAGTCAGCCACTTACTAGATCCCATAAAACTTCCAGTGCATCCCACACCCCAAGCCCTTCAAAGCCTGCCGGACAGTCTAACGGTTGATGATATAAATCCTGCATTGCCTTGATAACCCTTAGACTATGGGAATCAGGATATATTCCTTATTATGGGTAATGCAGGATTTATCCCATCAACCGCATAAGGCTTTTTTTCAAGAAGTATAGTCCCCCTGCCCAAGGGTAAGGTTACCGATCCAGGATGCCCAGCAGTACCCTTATTCCCTTTTTGTAGTCCTAGGTTCCTCAAGAAGTTACCCAGTACCAAAAAGGGAGCCCCTTTTTATTCTGGAAATCCAGAACCTTCTTCTCAAGTTGAGCTAATCCGGCTCCCCTCTATGACATGACCGCTCTTTGAGACTTGTGGAGCCCTTTGTTTTCCTAGGCTACTGGGCATCCTAGCGATAGTTTAAGTTTCTTCTTCCGAGGTGGTGAGTCGGGTGCAACAGTCCGGCAGCTGCTCCGGGGGAATGCCGGGATCTCGTTTCCTGGGGGTTTCGGGTTGAGGGCTGACAGGCTGCAGGGACTGCAGGGTTTGGGGTTTCGTGTTTGGGGTTTAGCATTTCGGGTTCAGGGTTTTGGGTTGCCAGGATCTCGCCTCTTTAGCTACGACTTGTTGTCACAAAAATTACTGTTATTGTCGTTATACCCTTACTTTACCAATTAAATATTCCTTAGGGTTCCTGATTAGAATTATTGAATTATACTATAAAGGAGCCCAAAACCGGAGCCCCAAACCCTACTCGGTATATACTATATACCTTCATACAGCTTTTAAATACCCATTATATAGCCCATTATAGGGTAAGGGTCCCTATTAAGGGTCCCTCCTTTTCCCCTTTGAGGCGAGCTTTGGGCTTCCTGTTTTTTTGGCGTGTGAAGGGTTTAGGGTCCTCGGCTGGGTTTAGGGCTTCGGGCCTAGGGGTCAGGGTTTAGGGTTTAGGGTTTAGGGTTTAGGGGTTTATGGAATCTAGCATTTACGGCTGAAGTTCAGGCTTTCTGGCTCAGGTTTCGCGGCGTAGGAAGTACAAACCTTATGCTTCGGGTTCCTGCACATATTTTATACCATCATCATCCATCATAAACCTAAACCCTGAGCCCTAAACCCCTCAACCTGAACCCCTGAACCCCTAAAGCCTAAACCCCAGTTCCATTAAGGCATCCTCTAGGCTTTGGAGGAGTCTGGGGCCTGGGGCTTCTGTCTCAGACATGACCTTCGGGGTTGAGGCTGTAGGACTCTTGGTTTGTGCCTTCGATGTGAAGGACTTGTGGCTTGGGGAATGGGTTTTGGGGCGCTAAGAAGTGAAGATATCATTTTTAAAGGGTTGCTAAGAACAGTTAAACTGCTATATGCTCCCTCACCCCTCCAAGACAATGAAGAAGAATAACAACTACAAGTCCTGATTGTTCAGGACCCGAAGCTAAACCCGTATACTAACCCTTACACAAACCCTCAACTGATCCCTACTTAAACTATCATGAGCCTTAGTCAGCAATAACTATCATGGGCCTTAGTCAGCAATTGGGTCATAAGTAAGGTAACTACAGTTGTATTTACTTATAGCCCCCAAAAGTATTTACAACCTTTGCTTATGAAGTCCCTGATCCTCCAAGTAGTCTAGTTCTTAATGCCCCTATTTCTTTCAATCTGGGCTACGTCCGCGAGGCTCAAGGTTCGGGGTGGTCCGAGGTTTAGGGTAGAGGGTTTAGGATTTAGGATTTAGGTTTGGAGTTTCGGGTTTGGGATTTAGGGTTTAGGGGTTCGCGTTCGTGGTTTACAGTTTAGGGTCGTGAGAATAGGTTTTAGGGTTTGGAGTTTAGGATTCAGGGTTTGGGGGGTAGGTTTTAGGCTAGTTTGGGGAAATGGAGGCCTTGAGTCGGTTCAGAGCTTGGAGAGATTGTAGGGCAGAGTTTTGGTTTTAGGGCTTTAGAGTTTCAGTGGATGGTTTTCTTAAAGTACAGGCTGTATAGTCTAAGCTTTTAGGATTTGGGGTCTAGGTATGTTTGTTGTACAGGGTATATAGCCGTACTGTACATTCCCAAAACCCCCAAACCCAAAACTATACTAGGGTGTGTAGGGGCAGCTTAGGTCCGAGTTGTCATGATGGTCAGTCCGCGACGCCGTGGCTTCGGGCTCAAGGGTATAGCGACCTTCCAACCTCTCCGAGCTCCTTTGCGGGAGTTCCTCGCACATCCGGCAAAATGGGCATCGATTCTCGATCGTTTTGAGGGTGGGGGATTTCTGAAACTATAGTCTAAACATATGATATTTATCATGGTTCTAAGGCTGATACAGGTTTAAGATTGGGACCTAAACCTTAAGCCCTAAACCCTAGACCCAGTTTAAGATTGCAGGGAGGTTGGCAGGGGCACGCGCCCAGAGACTCTAATATTCCTTAATTAAGGAATATACCGCAAATCAGTATAGGATCCCTAATATGATTTAAAGAATATTCCTTAGTTAAGGGATATTGGAGTCTCCGGGTGTCTGCCTGGCCCTAAATCCATCTTCGACCCCTTTCCTTCGCAGCTCGTTGCAGACAAGATAGGAGGACCCCAAGCAGGCCCCGACCATGAAATCCTGCGTTTTAGGGTTCAGGGTTTAGGGTTTAGGGGTTTAGGGTTTAGGGATTTTGGGTTTGGGGTTTAGGTGTTTAGGGATTTTGGGTTTAGGGTTTAAGGATTTTGGGTTTGGGGTTTAGGGTTTAGGGATTTTGGGTTTGGGGTTTAGGGGTTTAGGGGTTTAGGGTTTAGGGTCTGCGACTGAAACCCACTGCCCTAAACTAAAAGACTCTAGACGGAGTGGTAACCGCCCAAGCCCTCAGCAATCGCAGACCCCAAACCCCAATTCAGAGCACAGGGGAAAGTCTGAACCCTGACGCCCGAAGATTAAACGGGAGCAGAAAACGATGGGTCCGTCAATTCCACGGAGCCGAAGATACGGCGGACGAAAGCTTATGAAGCCCCCAACTACTGTGCTGTTGCTTTGCTACGGCCACAAGCACCACTGCCACAACGAACGCGGCTAATCTCAACCATGTCTTTTGCTGTGTGTGCTTACTACTGTTCCTACTGGTACAAGTGAGAAGCGGCCGCCAGAACAACACCCAGAATGTATTAGCCGCTTCTGTCGGAGGCTGGAATGGGATTTCACACTTAAGCTTCAAGCTCACACCAATACCCGCAAGCGACATCCTAAATCTCAAACCCTATCACTCGAATCGCCTAGTTTCTAACGCTAAGCCGGCTAAATCCTTGATCCTAAACCGTAACTACACCCTATAAGCTCTAAGCCCTGAAGCCTGAACGCTAAGCCCTAAGCCCTAAAGCCTAAACCTTAAACCTTACACCCTAAACGCTAAACCCTAAACCCTAAACGCTAAACCCTAAACCCTAAACCGTAAGGGGAAAAAGGTGCTCAAAAAAAAAACACCTCGAAGCCCCCGAAACCCTAAGCCCTGACGCCTGAACCCAGGACATTGAGTCCGGAGGCCGAAAAAAGATCAAGAAGCGAGCCTTGGACTGCAGGGAGCTCTTAGGGATTTAGGGTTTATAGGGTTGCATGAGCTCTAAGGGTTTAAGGCTTAGGGAGTTATATAGGGTTTACGGTATATAGGGTTTAGGGTTTGGGGTTTGGGGTTTTTAGGGTTTGGGGTTTAGGGTTTAGGGTTTAAGGGAAGGGCGTTGGGGCTTTCAGGATGTTCTATGGCTTAGTAGGTATAGGATACTGGGAAGATAGCTTAGAGTTTAGGGTTTAGAGGGCTTCTGGGCTTTATGGCTAGTAGGGTTTAGGGTTAGGGGGTTTGTAAGTCTTCTATGGCTTGGAGGCGTTAGCGTTCGTAGCGGGTTCGTAAGGTTTCTGTGGCTTAGGGGGTTTGGGGTTTTTTTAGGGCCTGGGTATGAGGTGTAACAAACAGGGCTTATTGTTTAGGGCACATAGCAAACCATTGAAGTCTACAGTCTTTATCAAGACAACACCTTAGTACACGGCGTTTTGAGGGCTTTAGGGCCTGTGTTTTTTGATATGATTTCGCTGCTGTTGCTGCTATGATATGGAGCTTTCATGAGGATGATTGTGCCACTGTGATGGAGAAATTGCTGGCAGCCCCAAATTTCAAGATCTAAACTCTGGACTTTCCAAAACTAAACCCTATCGGTGCCGACACAGGTGCCGTTACTTCTGGCGATTCGATGTTTAAGCTGTGAAACACTAAGCTTAGACCCCGAAGCCCCTCAAACCCCCAAGCTGTGTAGCTGCACCCCAAACACCAACCTCTACCGCAAGCCTGATGCCTCCCTCAGTCCTGAAGCACCACAACGTCATCACAACCCAAAGCCGCCCTTTCATGCTTGGATCTTGTCTAAACACCTTATCCTAAACCCAGAACCCCAAGCCCAAGACCATAGAATCTAAACCGAGAAACACTGATCCCACGCGCCAAACAGGAGAGGTTCAGTCTCAGATGCTCGGCGCAACATTCTCAGGTCAAGGGTTTCGGGTTCAGGGTACAGGGATAGAAATTTCACCTTCCTGGTAGTCAGAAGTATCTGAAGGCGCGCTGATACGTCATCTACACTTGCAATATGTCGAGTTGCCCCGATTAGTCTAGTTGAATCCTTGTCAGAATTTTTGGAGTTGCATAAGAGCTTCCGGTTGATGGGCTGCAAAGATGTCGAATCCGCTCCTGCGCTGAATATCACTGTTTATCGAAAGCAGCTGGAGCGTGGATGGCTGGACCCCTAAACCCTAAACCCAAAATCCTAAACCCTAAACCCTAAATCCTAAACCCTAAACCCGACCCTTCGAGCTTTCTGGGAAGGGGGTGAGGGTTTAAAGAGCCATCGGGAGCCTCCCTCACAGCTAGCTAGATGGGTGGTTTTCAAAATTCTGGTCCCTTTGGGTCCTTATAGTCTCCATTGTAGTTACTTCCTTTTTTGGGGTTACCTTTTAGGATCCTTAATATACAACTGGTTTAACCCAAAAAAGGAACTACAATGGAGACTATAGGTACGGCACCTAATATTTAGGGTACCCAAAAAGGGACCATAATTTTGACAGCTACCCAGAATGATTTTAGACTTTGTGGTCAATGTCTTAGATCCCCAATACCTAGCCTTGAAAATTTATGGGTTCGTATAGTTTCATAGCAATCGGAAAGTTTAAGCTTTTGTTTTCGTGGCTAATTGGGGTAGTAAGATTTCTGCGTCCAGGCAAGCTCTCCGCAAAGCTTCAACTTGAATCATTCAGACTTGAAAAGAGCCGAAGTCCTGTGAGGAAGTTTCGTTGTCGGCATCATGGTTTGAGATTGCACAGCTTCCCAGGACCCTAATTCAAAGCCCATCCCAACAGGCAGATATTTTGGCCTTGCAGGAACTACTATAAGGCCAAAGTCTATACTATTTGGACACATGGACCCTTAGGGCTAATGTAGGAACCTGATTAAGAAACCTTTGGCCTTTATCAGGGTTCCTTATATAAATCGTACTATTTGGGGGGTATAGGCCGAACTTGGATCCGTTGCGGTTCGGGTGAATTGCTTCGGACTTGGAAACACAACACCCAAACCCAAACCCACAGCCTCAACCCTGAAACCCTGCCTGCAAGCCGCACGTACACCCTAAATCCTAAACTCCAAGCCCTACAGCCCGAAACCACAAAGCCTCAGCCTAAATCCTGAGAGATCCTGCCGTTCGCCTATGGAACCCCAGCTGCAACCCTCACTCAAACCATAAGGAAAATTGAAGAAACTTCTCTACGATCCTGGTAAAGCCTTATGTAGCCCTTGTACAATCTTTGTGAAGTCCGAAAGCACCCTTCTTAACAGGAATCAGTACACGAAGCCCTAAACCCGAAGCCCGTAAACGTTAAACACGAAAGGAATCCGTACCTCGTCCTTCTGTGCAAGCTCTATAAGTTCTTGGCTCGGCGTACGGACTCCAAGTTCAACAAGGAGTGGACGCAGGGTTTCACCAAAGCTTCTAGAGGAAGGGATACTCTGTGTTTTATGGGGGTTCTAAAAGGGGCTGCGGGGTTCCTTTCAGGGTTCTTACGGTCTCCTCAGCAAGGCTTCTTTAACAGTTCAACGAGAGCCAAAAGCTGGGTGCAGTTTTTTTGGTATTCGAGGTTCGGATTTTGGGCGGTTTTGGATTCGGAGTTTAGACCTGGTTTCTAGAGTAAGAAGTCGTTCCTGGGCGTCAGGCTCTGAAGAAGGCAGTTGTCTGGGCTTGGCTTAAGCCCTAAACCCCAAATCAGAACTAAACCAGGCAGGGAGTTGGCGGTCCGAAAGTCCCAATGCACCCTTAAAAAAAACAGAAAACACGCAGCAACCACGACAAGCTCCTGCAAGCACCTTTCTTTAGCCCTCGTAAAGCGCCAGTTTCCATGTCCACCCTTCGCCTTGGAGTCTAATTATAGGATCCTTAAGGGGGGGTGATTCAAGGGGGGAGGGTACTACGGTTGATGATATAAATCCTGCATGACCTTAAGGACCCGAAACTATGGGAATTATGGTATATTCCTTATCATGGGTCATGCAGGATTTATATCATCAACCGTAGGGAGCTTTGGGGAACCTTAGGGAAGCTTAGGGAGTATTGGGGAATAATGGGGATTACTAGGTTACCTACCCCCCTTGGACCACCCCCCCTTAAGGACATCCTAATCTAAGGCTGAAAGAACCGAAACAGCCTTGTCCTTTTTCATGCCCCAAAAGGATAAAGAGACCGGCTAGTAGACCTTCTTAAAAAGTTCCTACTCAACGATATAGGTATATTTATTTCTAAAAGGACAAGGGTGAACCGAATCCTGAACACCGGTCTAGGGTGGAGGCGTTATGACTTAGAAGTTTTGCTGGCAGTTACTGTATAAGGTTTCGAGTCATTTAGAGCGTTTTTTGGGTGGTTTATAGGGCTTATAGGGTTTACAGGGTTTAGGGTTCATACATGGTTTAGGGTTTAGGAAGCTGCTCAAAACGCCAAAGTCCACCCCATAGGCCCCTAAACCGAATACCCCAAAAGCACAAAGCCTACTTGGAGGGGCAGGGGACTTAGTAAGTCGGTTATAGGTACAGTTACAAGTACCCTAAATGGAGTTACCCCAATAATGACCCTACTTATGAACGACTTACTACGTCCCCTGCCTCTCCAAGTAAAGGCTTACGCCTCCAATGCAGGTCATCTGCAAGCGCCTGAACATGTCCGGAAGGCCTAGACTTAGGGTTTTTCGGGTTGGGAAAAAAGGGCCTCTTTAACGGGATCTATAAGGGTTCCTTTAAGGTTTCCTTTAAAAGGGATCTAGAGGGTTAGGGTTTAGGGTTTTGGAGGTATTTGGGGGTTGATGTCGAGGACTGGGACTTTTGGTCGTTGCGCTTTAATGTACGGCTTGTAGTCTCTTGCTCGGGATTTTGAAGGTATTTGTTGCGGGGTTTAGGGGTTTGGGGTTTGTAGTTTTGGCTTTGTGGTCGAAGGTCTGGTATTGGAGGGGTCCGGGGCTGGTCCGTGCAGGATTTGAAGCACCCGAAGGTTGAAACCCCAAACCCCGGACCCTAAACCAGAAAGTCTCAACACCCTTCAAAGCAAGCCCTAAACCCTAAACCCTAAACTGGAAAGTCTCAGCACACTTCGAGAGCGCCCTAAAGAGCTCAAGCAGTAGAGAAGTGGGCTCTCACGGCTCTGGGGTGGGACTCCGTAGGACTCCAGTATCCCGAACTGGGCTCTGACAGCCCTTTTTTTTTCTCTCCTATTGAAACAATGTTATCTTTGCGGAAGACTGAGGGATCCGCAATGCTCAAGAGTAGCTAGGTTTAGGTGCTTGAAGTGGGTTTAGGGTGCAAGGTTTGAGGCTCAGCAGTTACATAGGGTTTTAGGTGCTTTTGGGGTTATGCTTTAGGGAAGCTTCTTTGACTTCTGGTGTTTTTACTTCATAAACGGTCGGTCTGTCGTCCTGTTTTGGAAGGTTCAGTTCTGAACGGCTGCGGTTTACTTGGAGAATCATGGGACTTAGTAAGTGGGGTTATAAGTGCCTTAACTGGGGTTATGAGTAATTATAACTATAGTTACCCGACTTATAACCCCAGTTACTAAGTCCCATGATCCTTTAAGTAAGGTTTAGGGCCTCGGTTTTCAGCCGTCGTTTCAGCTTGGCGTCTCCCCTGCAGGTCCTTCAAAGCTCTGGTAGCTTTACGCTGTGCCCATCCATTAACTCCTAAGCCCTGCATGACCGAAGCCACTTAAAGGATCATGCGACTTAGTGATTGGGGTTATAAGTAAGGTAACTATAGTTATAATTACTTATAACCTCAGTTAAGGCGCTTATAACCCTACTTACTAAGTCCCATGATTCTCCAAGCACCGTTGCAGGAATCGTCCCCCACTGTCGCTGTCCAAGCTCATCAAGTACATGACCAACAAGGTCTCGATTTGTCCAGGGGGCAGGGAAGAGCATAATGTAGGAGCGTTAGAAATTTGAATGGGGTTCCGGGGTACATTATAATATTGGTATGATATCACAAGACATCTTACTCAATGACAATGGCAACTATTCAGGCCCTACCTACATTGCACATCAAACTCCAGACCCCAAATCGCAAAATCTACACCCCACGCCCGAAGCCCTGGTTGAATCGTACTAGGGGTTAGGGTTATTTAAGTTACCTTGATCGGAGTTGATGGTAAATAACGTGGTTTCCTTGTTATGACAACTCAAAATAGGTTCCTCACAAATCAAAGCACCCGGGTGAGCCATGGTTCGATCCAGAAGGTGGACCTGCTGGACATGTCATTCCTCTGTACTCCTCCTTCAATTACTTGTGGAATAGGTCTTCCCAGTATCTCTAAACCCTAAACAAGCGAGCTCCCTTTGGGATCTTGTTTAAGACATCTACTTGGAGGATCATGGGGCTTAGTAAGTAGGGTTGTAAGTACTTTAATTGGGCCTATAAATCATTATAGCTGTAGCTACCTTACCTATTAACCCCAAATACTAAGTCCATCTAAGTCCCATGATCCTTTACGTCGAACTGACACTGGGGCTTGTCTCGCTGCACATTGAGGCTGACCAAGTTGAGCAGCCCATGATCTACGAGTAAATGGCCGAGCTCGAGCACACGCTAGCATTGCTGGCAAAGCACTACTCAAAGGATCATGGGACTTAGTAAATGGGTTATAATTGGGGTCATAAGTCCCCTAAGTGGGGTTATCCTAATTATAACCTATTTATAACCTTACTTACCAAGTCCCATGAGCCTTTAAGTATTGCCGCATGGCAAAAGATCTGCTGACGTCCGACCTGGCACCCTCGCTTCTCCTGCATCAACCGATGATCATGACGTCTTAGCACGACCGCCCTACGATGCCAGGAGGACTCGCCGAACTGATTTGCGACAGGTGGCTCGTGAACGGCCCAGCAACGGCCAGTGGCACCTAAATCCTAAGCCCTAAACCCGAAACCCTAAGCCCTAAACCCCCAAAAGCAAGCACTTCTTCGGCCCGGCCGATGGCCTTGAGGAGATATCAGGATCCTTAAACTCTGAACTCACTAACTGAGTCACCTAGGGCTTAGGGCGTCAAGCCTGAATCCAAACCCCAAACTGCAACCCTAAGCCCTAAACCTTAAAGCTACATGGGTTCCCTCAACCCTAAACCGTAAAGCCCCCAACCCAACCCATTGAAGGATGGCAAGATCGCCGTCGTGGTAGGCCGAGGGGGGCGGGGGTGGGGCCCTGAACCTGAATCTTAGGAGTGGCAGGGTCGGGGGCGACTTCGTCTGCCTGGGGTTTAGGGTTTAGAGGTTTAGGGTTTCGGGGGTTTAGGGTTTCTTTAGGTTTTAGGGTTTCTTTAGGGTTTAGGATTTAGGGTTTTGGGGTTTAGGGTTTGGGGGTTCAGGGTTTCTTCAGGTTTAGGATTGAGGGTTGAGGGTTTGGAGTTTCGTGTTTAGGGTCTTGGGCGGATTGGCTTCGGAGTGTCTGAAGCAGAGGTTGGAGTCGGCTGAAAGACTGTCAGACATGACCGCTTTGGGCTTCGGCTTTAGGCTTTAGGGACAGTGCCTGCGCATTCGGCGCTTGGGTGTGAGGGCATTTTGAGGTTTTTGAGTCTGTCGGCCCCCTTGCAGTGGTGCTTGAAAGCATTTTGCGGGATCTGGTCGTTCCTGTCTGTGCAAGGCTACCAGAACCCTCAAACTGGAAACCTCAACACCCAAGCCCTCATAAATCCTATAGAAAGGAGAGCTGACGCGATCGCGATGACGGCAGAAAAAAAACGACGACAGAACTTAAACCTCCAACCCTAAACCCTAAACCCCTGAACCCTAAGCCCCTAAACCCTAAACCCCAAAACCCTAGAGTCGCGGAAAATTCCTTCAGATCTCGAGGTTTTCGATTCCCGCGGTGTGCCTCAGGAGAATCGCACGTCCCCTAAGCCGCCCTGAGCTCGCGCTGAAGCCAAGGCCACACCCTCTACACTTCGAATCCGGTTCAGGGTTTAGGGCGAGACCCCAACCTCCTAAACACTCTACGCTGTGTAGTCCTAAACCCTAATCCCTAAACCGACCCCAAACCCAAGCAGACACCAAGGGAAGAAGACATTTAACAAAAAAGACACAGCGACGAGGCAAGGTCACTGACGACAAGCGGGTCTACGATGTTCCTGAGCTGAAGGCCGGCTACACAGCTGTGGTACTTCCCCCGAGACTCCAATATCCCATAATTAAGGAATATTCCCTAAATCATATTAGGGAGCCTACTACAGTTTAATTAAGGTATACCTTCAGTAAGAGATCGTGGAGTCTCTGAGGGTCTGCAAGCGGTGCAACAACCCCTGTGTCTTTGCATTAAGATGCTTTAGGAATTGTAGACGAGTCCAGAAATGGTCATACCAGTAATAACCTTCCGTTATTGTCCTATGTGTTTTGGAGTAATATGCTAGTGGCAGCAGAAACAATACGTAGATTAGCCTCGGCAACAGCCATACAAGTAACAACCTTCTGTTGTTGTTTCGCAGACACATCCATCGACAGGTGTGCGCTCTGGGATTCACCGAGACGGCCCGTGCAAGGCTGTGCGTTTGGATGTGTGCTCTACCATGAGTTTTCAGAAACAGTGGTCGCGATCATCAGTAATAATAGTATTCCCTTATGTTCCCCATATTGTATAGTTGCATGATAATGTACTGAAGATGGTGTTCTGATTGGTATGTACCCAAGCATCCCTGCTCGAGTTCTTGAGGAGCCCATAGCCCTGCTACAGATGCAGATGCATCAACTCCCCAACCGATGCTGAAACGGTGTAAACACCGCAAGACCTAGAATTCCCTGTAAACTCGGGCATTCCATAATTCCTTAGGACCGCATGTAGTGCCATTGTGGTTTCAGCTTTTCCCAAAGTATGTATTTACGGATTTCGGATGAGAGAGCCTGCTGAGTGGTCTGGCGGTTGACTCAAGATTTCCATCTAGTGCAGGGGTCACTAGAATCACAAATCTGATTCCTGAGGCTTCCTCACCAAAAGATACTATAACCTATCTATCCAAAAAGCAGATTCTAATTATTAAGGACCCTATATTGCTTTTATGCCCTGGCTGGGGAGACATCAATGAAGAGCGGAGGCAAAATAGGATCTGAATCAGTGACAGCCAGAATAGTCAAAAGCCACACTAGTTGTACTGCCAATGCATAAACGATGCCGCTGCTGCTGCTGCTGCTGAACCGGCTGCTGCTGATACTAGACTACCGCAACGACTGCAAAAGCTGCTGCTACTCTGCCGCTGCTTCTACTGCGACGAGAACGACGACGACATAATGGGCTCATGGAGCCCTTTACCTAATATAGGGGCCTTAATAGTTACCTACCTAGAGTGTTTTTGGCGGTCCTTAATGTAATTATAGTATAACCGGACCCCAAAACCCTCAGACTATTGGGGGGGTTCCTTAATATAATGATAGTTTCATGGGCCCCAAAACCCTATTCTTTTTACTAAGGCCCCCAAACCGACTCCCGAACTCCAGATCCTGGTCCCGGAGGCCCCGGACCCAAAATCCTGAACCCCGAAAGCCTAAGGACGACATCCAAAACCCTGCAAGCCCCAAACCCTAAACCCCCAAAACCCTAAACGACCAAACCCTAGACCCCAAACCCCTCAAGAACTGAATCGGAAGCCGAACCCGTGAATCCTGCACCTTGTCGGTTTTGAGGTTAGGGTTGTGGTCGCCAGAAGATCCAGCACCCGAAACGGACTCCCCCCCTAAACCCTAAACCCTAAAAAGGTTATAGGGTTTAGGATTTAGGGTGTAGCCTTTGCGCATCAAGCTGCACCAGCTGTTTATTAGGCTCCTCATTATAGACTGAAGTCCGGGTCACGAAACTATGATCTGAAATGTCGTGGCCTCTGGTCGAGAAGAGGGATGTGTATGAACTGGGCTCGGAACTTGGGCATCAACAAGTTTGAACCCCTTTAACCTTAAACACTACAGCATCGAAGATGCCATTTCGAAGGATTCTCAAGGCCGGTGGCGAGTGCTTGACATTCGACACCCTTGCCATGCGCAGCTTTGGGTATCATTATTGGGGTTTAGGTGTTTTGGGGTTTTAATCGGTTAGGATATGGGTATGTTGGGGGTTTTAGGTTTAGAGGTTTGGGGTCTTCGGTTGCGAGTTACTTGGAAGGGCAGGGGACTCAGTAAGTAGGTTATAAGTAGAGTTATAGGTACCCTAAATGGAGTTACCCCAATTATAACCCTACTTATAACCTACTTACTAAGTCCCCTGCCCCTCCAAGTAGACCCTAAACCCTAAACCCCATAGATCCCTTTAAGAAGAACCCTATAGATCCCTTTAAGGAGCCCTTTAAGGAGCCCTTTAAGGAGCCCTTACTAAGTCCCCTGCCCTTCCAAGTAGGGGTTTCTGGTTCACGGATTTGTGGTTGAGGCAGTCTCAGGCTCAGGGGACCCTGTCTTCGGATTCTACATATCAAAGGGGAAAAGGAGGGACCCTTAATGGGGACCCCGACCCTATAATGGGCTATATAATGGGTATATAATAGCTATATTATTAAGGGTAAATACCTAGGGGTCCTTATTAAGGGTCCCTCCTTTTACCCTTGGACATACGTGTTTCCGGCTCTAGGGTTCGTGTTCCCTCAACTACGAAAGTAGCAGGGATCGAAGCAGTAGCTACGCACGGCGCGAACAACTTCTTCTTCTCAGCAGTCGGGTTTAGAGTTTTCGGGCCTCGGGTGTTTAGGGCCTCAGTAACTTGCGTAAAAAGACATAAGCTGTCAACGTCGAAATCCTCTACTCAATAAGGCGCCCGAAACCTGGAACATCAACCATTAACCCCAAGCTCTTGGAAACCGTGGGTAGGCCCAACCCCCCAAACTTTAACCCTAAGCCCTCAAGCCTAAACCGTGAACCGCAGCCGAGTATAGGTTTTAATGTTCCATGCTGATCGCCCTAGTTTTGGGCTTTGGGTTGAGAGTGTGTTGAACCGGCCTAAACATTACAAGTCCCCAAACGCTAGACACTAAAGCTACAGGCCCCTTAACCCGAAACCCTACTTAAAGGTTCATGGGACTTGGTAATTGGGGTTATAAGTATGGTAACTACAGTTACAATTACTTATAACCCCAATTAAGGGACTCCCATGAACCTCCAAGTAAACCATACAAGTCCAAGGCAGTCCCCTGGGCAAGGGCACCGTGCTTCTCCGTGGCCCCGTGAAGGCGGGAGAGTTTAGGGTTTAGGGTTCCAGCTTTCGAGTTTAGAGTTTAGGGTTTAGGGTTTCGGGTTTAGGGGTTTAGGGTTCCAGCTTTCGTGTTTAGGATTTAGGGTTTCCGGTTTGGGGTTTAGGGCCATGAAGGTAGCCCTCATAGAATCAACGGGCTGTAACGGTGGGATGAAGTTATTTGGCTCGTGTTCACATAGATGTCATTAATAATGAGCACCCATGGTATAGACTGTTACTGTATGGGGGTTGGTACCCAAAGCCGAAGCGTAAGCCGTAACCCCTACTATAGGGGCCTAAATAATTACCGATACTCTTTCGGCGGTTCCTTACTATGTTTATGTTATAATCGGCCCCAAACCCTATTGTAATCATCAAGGCCCCTATATTATAGTACCCTTATAGATCCCTTATAGTAACCCTTATACAGAACCTTTAAGCCGGAACCCTATTCTAATTATAAAGGCCCTTATACTATAGTTCACTTATAGATCCCTTATCCCTTCAAAGGAACCCTATTCTAATTCTTAAGGCCCCTATATTAAGCCCTATTACTTAGAAAGGGCCCCCACCCTGTAATAGTAGTATAATAGGAATATAATTATAATAGGGCCCTAATATAATATTAATATAATCCTTACGGTCACTGTTACAGGGTGGGGGCAGCTCCTGACCTATTACACCCTAAACAGACCCCCTATAGTAACCCTTAAACCGGAACCCTATTTTTTACTTATAAAAGCCCCCATACTATAGAACCCTACTATAGATCCCTTATAGAACCCTTCTAAGGATCCCTTTGAAGGAATTATAAAGGCCCCTATTACACCCGAAGCAGACCCTTCATGTTTTCGCTGCTGGAAGGGTCGCGAGGCCGAGCGCCACTTCGGCAAGGCCGGTGTTGGTGGCGGGGTACGGGAGTAGGGCTTTTACAGGGCTCCTTAAAGGGATGTATAGGGTTCCTTAAAGGGATCTATAGGGTTCTTCTTA